TTAGATCATGTAGTCCTTGGCGTGTTGCAAGAGTGGTGCATCTACCATCAGGTACAAATGTATGACCACCGTGAATTCAGCCTGTTGGACAATTGTTCATTGAGGCAAGTAAATATAAGGAAAGATGGGAGAAGGGGAGGGGAGGGGTGGTTGGGGGAAGCGGAGGGCGAGATTTTGGAGGAAATGGAGGGGAAAATGTCGTTTCGATTCGTTTCCCATCAGAATAAAATGTATTTTTGATGAAGATTTAGTTTTTTAATTAGTTTTTATATTCTGCGTAGATTTAATCTCATCCACACAATTTTTTTTATGCAGACTGAGAAAAAGAACAAAAAAAACGTAACGAGAAACGAGCCGCTCGACTTCCTTCCTCACTGAGACATTATATACGACCAATAAATCAAGTTAAAAACAAGAAAAACGACAGGAACCGACAGCTGGGACCCGAGGAGCAGCTTCCTCTCCACGCTTCGCTCCTCGACCTTCAACCCGTGACCTTTGACCTCCGGTTTGACCTTAGGGACGACCTTGATGAAGGAACCGCCCCCTCTCGCGTCCTCCCTGTTGACGACGTGGTCGGTGATGGCGTGGAAGAGGATGACGAGGAAAGTGATGCCGATGCAGAACATGAGCCAAACGTCGACCATCTTGAAGTAGGAGGTCATCGGCAGCGTGGCCGATATCTGGGGAAGGAAGAGGGAGGGAAGACTTGGGATAAGGCATCTCTTCCCTCTCTCTTCTATCTATCTATCTATCTATCTATCTATCTCTTCCCTCTTCCCTCTTCTCCCTCTCTCCCTTCTCTACCCCCCTCTCTCTCTCTTCCTCTCTCTTCCTCTCTCTTCCTCTCTCTCTCTCTCTTCTCTCTCTCTCTCTCTCCTCTCTTCTCTCTCTCTCTCTTCTCTCTCTCTCTCTCTCTCTCTCTCTCTCTCTCTCTTTCTTCTCTCTTCTTCTCTCTCTCTCTCTCTCTCTCTCTCTCTTTTTCTTTCTTTCTCTCCCTATCTCTCTTCCTCTCTTCCTCCATTTTCTCTCTCTTTCTTCCTTTCTCCCTCTCTCTCCCCCACTCCCCCACCCCCCCCACCTGCGAGAAGAGCGTGCACAGGACCAGCTGCACGGTGAGCGCGGCCATCATCCTGACGTCGAAAATGCTGGTCCTGAAGAAGAGGGTGACGTAGCTGACGACGAGGAGCACGAGGGAGGGGAGGTAGATGTTCAGGACGGCGTATCCGTAGCGCCTTTTGAGGGCCACGCTGAGCACCACGTCGCTGTACTTGCCGCTGTTGTCGAAGTGGAGTTGCATGCGGCCGACCTGGAGGGGGAGATGTTGGAGGAGGGGAAGGGGAGATGTTGGAGGGAGGGGAGGGGGAGATGGAGGAGGAAGGGGAGGGGAGATGTTGGAGGAAGGGGAGGGGAGGAGAGGTTGGGACAAGGGGAGGGGAGATGGAGGAGGGAGGGGAGGGGGAGATGGATGAGGAAGGGAGGGGGAGATGTTGGAGGGAGGGGAGGGGAGGAAAGGTTGGGGGAAAGTGGAGGGGAGGGGTAAGGTAGGCGGTTAGATGTGGTGGTGATGAAAGGTGCTGAGTTTGGTGGTGGAGGGTTGGGGGTTGGAGAAGGAGGCGATTGGTTGTGGATTTTGATGAGGTTGGGGGAATGAGATGTGTATGTAGGGTTGTGTATATATGTATGTGTTTGTGAGCATGTGTGTGAGGGTGTGTGTGTTTGTGTGCATGTGTGTAGGGGTATATGTGCGTGTGCGTATGTAATCATGTCACGCAATCCAACCTAATTTTCAACAATCCATCAGGTGTAAAAACATCGCCAATATACCATTAGCCTCGTAATATTACGCCATTACGTCCGAGTATTACCTCCGCCAGGCAGGTTTTGCTTTTGGTAGCGTTGGTGAGTTTGTTGGTTAGTTGGTTGGCAGGGAAATTCAAAAAATTATGAACAGATTTTGTTATCTTTTTTACCAGAGGTGTGTCTTAGCCAAACTCAGATGTCACTAATGTTTGTGGTGATCCGCGACAAGTATTCATTAGCATTGCGAGATCGGGAAGCACGGACAACACCCGCGTGCTTGAGAAAGGGGGAATTTGAAAGGAATTATTCAAGTGTGAATATTTTTTTTATTATTGCATCAGTGATCGTATTGCTTTAGCGGAGGTAAGTACTCTCTGAGATCTTCTATTTATATATACATTCACTCGTACTTATTTTCGATAGAAAGCAACGAAAATCTTTATCAATACAAATCAATAATAAAAAAAAAATCGGCGGCAACTCGCCTCGTACTCCGGCAGGAGGCGACTCCCCGCGCGCTCGACCGAAGACTTCTCGGGGTCGAACGCCAGGAAGGCTTTTCCCGCCGAAGTGATCCTGAGGCGCATCTGACACTCCTGGACGTCGAACGGGTAGAGGGCGAGGTCGAACACGCAGTTGTACACGATGCCGTACTTCCTCTTGCTCGACAGGGGGTTGTCCTCGCCCGAGTAGATGTCGACTGCGGGTTGGACGTGTCCGATTACGGGCGGTTGGCCTGGCTTTGGCTTTCGCGATATTTTCATGTCATCATTGCGTCACTGTGTCATTTTCTGGTCTATGTCTGATGATATATGAATATATATATGTGAGGACTTTATTACGTTACCTCTGTCAATGCCTTTGCCGAATTCGCAGATTTAGAGCCGTGCCTGATAGAATGGGAACACATAAGTAACCTAGAATGACCTAACCTGGAAGCCATCTCGAATTACCTTCGGCCGGAGCGGCGTCGTCTCTCCTGCTGGCGTTGGCGAGCCGAGTCACGTACACGACCGTGTTTTCATCGAGCTCGGTGTGCATGTACGTGTCCGTGTTGACGAAGTGGACGACCGGGATCCACAGCTTGGTCGAGGTGGAGAGCGGGAGCACGTTGAGGATCTCGTCCACTTTCAGGTTCTCGTAGTGGAGTCTGTTGTCCCGCCAGGTCAGGGTGATCTCGTGGGACACCTGCATGGCCAGGTTGAGGGTCCTGACGCCCATGGACTCCACGACGATGGTCGCGGCCACGGGCAGGCTGGCGCTCGTATTCCGCCCGGGGCGGGGGGGCAGGTGGCGCTGGTACCCCCCGGGGATAGCCACCAGCTCGCAGTCCGCCTCGTCCGAGTTGTCGCGGCAGTCGTAGGTGAGGTCGCAGCGGCGGGCGAGCGGGATGCAGGTGGCGTCGTCGCAGCTGAACTGGTCCGGCAGGCACGGCGAGAGCAGCAGCTGGCGGCGCCCCCCCGGCTCCTGCCCGCAGACGGTGCGCTCCAGCACCCACCAGCGGCGGCCCATCGGGTAATCCGGCGCCGTGCTCTCCATCTTGGCCACGGTGGTGTTGTGCACGACGTTGAGCCACGTCCAGGCGCCGCGCTCCCGCAGGATGTGGTACTGGCCGTAGCCGACGAAGGTGATCTCCCGATGGCCCTCTGGTAGGCCACGAAGTAGACGTTCCGCAGCTCCCGCTCACACGTGCCCAGGAGCGAGAACCTCTGCTGCTCCTCGAAGACGCACACCGCGCAGTAGATGTTCGTGGCGCAGTCGATGTCGCCGGTGCCGAAGGTGCCAATGGCGGCGCAGTTTTCGTAGATGATGCCGCTAGGTTCGTGCGGGGCCCAGAAGGTCGTGTTGACCGCCCTGCCGTCGTGCCTCCGCCACACGCCCTCCTCCTCCTTGTCGTTGAGCGACGTCCAGTAGTCCGTCGCGCAGTTCTGGGAGTCCGGGTAAGCCTCGGCCGCCCGCCGGTGCCACGCCAGCGCCTCCTCCATGGATGAGGCGAAGGGAAGGTGCGTGCCGAGGGCCTCGCAGACGTACTGAGCCACGGCGTCGGTCAGGGCGGGGAACCAGAAGTACTTCGGGCCGACGTCGGAGTCGCACAGGCTCTCGAGGTCACGTCGAGGCTCGTCACGTTGCGCAGCGTCCAGCCCGCCTCCCACGAGATGTAGTTGCCCTGCGGGTCCGTCGGCACCGCGCGATCTCCAGGACCTCCCCTTCGCTCAGCGCTCGGTCCCACACGTTCACCTGAAATCGCCATCATGGCATTGATTGCAAAGCCGAGATGGGTGCTATTGTCAAAGGGACTTTGATAAACAGTACTGCTATGATGATCATATGTTTTCTCCCTAATCATAATAATCAGCATCATGACACCTCTCATTACCAAATGGAAATAGCAATAACACTAGTTATAAACAAAGAACACAAAAAACTTTTTTTTTTTCTTCTATCGTGCTCCATATCCCTCATCTTTAGTCACCTTGAAAAGCTCACCTGAGTTAGGTCACCGCAGAAGCTGTGTTGGGGTCGCGATTCTGACCCAGTCTGGCGTAATCCCCCGAGACAGGGCGGCCGATGTCGTACACCTGTCGTTGTTGAAGCTCGCCGTCAATGTAGCTGGTAATCACTTGACTTCTGTGGTCGTACGAGAAGCACAGGAGGTACCACCTGCCGTATAACCGAGGGAGTTTTAAAGGATGGATTTAACGCATATGGTAATCAGTGAAAATATTTGTGCAGTAGTAGGATACATGGAGTTAAGCCAAACGAAATTGAGACATTTGAATGAAAGAGAACTCAAGCTAAATTGAATTCGAGAACGCGTGACATGAACAGACCAGACATCCCAAAATATTGTTTAATTAGTCAAGCTAGTCAAGGTATGCTCTGTCATTCTCCTTCTTGGGACGAAGGTTTCGATTAAATTTTGGCAACCCAGTCTCATTCTATCTCTATCAATCTCTCTCTCTTCTTTCTCTGTCTTTCTGTTTGTTGTATGTATACATGTATCTTCCTTCCCCTTCTCTTTCCCCTCTTCTCTTAATCACCCCTTCTTTCCCCGTTATCCCCTCTAAATCTACAATGAAAAGCATTACCTGAAAGCCCAGAGGCTTTTTTTGAGCCTGTGTATCCTCCATGTGTGCACGAGGCCTGGCGTGATGCGATCCAGCCACACCACTGACGGAGAAGAAGAAAGAAAAAGTGAAAAGAAGAACACGTATGTCCTAGCTGGCATTAGGGGTGAATACTTGTCTCTCTGAAAAAACAGATCTATTATGTGTTTATGGAGAAAACTGAATACCGTATTTCAGCGCGGTAGATATCTTTAGACGAAGATTGGCGAAGGGTTTCGCATTTATAAAACAATCACAAACAAATCCATTTCATGTCCTGCATGGTATATGAGCCGTCTTTTCCCGGTGGTGACATCGAACTCGAAGGCTCGAAATGCTTTTTTATGAATATGATATGATCAGATTGTAAAAATAAATAAATATATATATAAATATGGTGACATAAGCGTCGAGGTGAATTCACGGATTCAAACATGCCAAGGTTGAAGGCAAGCAGTTGCAATACGAACTCTCTTCGTTGACTCGATCTCTGTTCGATCGAACGCCGCCGGCGGACTACATATTTTCTTTATAAACCTCTTGATACCCAGTAAAATCGTTTCCGGGAATTTTTTCATCAATTATCTGATTAGTTTACAATTCAAGCAATTTACTGGCCTTTCTTTGCACACAATATCTTCATTGTGACACCGAAAGGGACAGATATTGCGAATCCTTTGGCTTCAGCAGGAACGGATATGCCAAGGCAACGGAATTTAAGTAACTTCAAAGTCTGTCATATTTTTTTTTTTTACATTCCCCTCAAGTATCACGTTACAAGCGTAAAGACATTGCGAGATTACTAGGGATTCATTTCGACGCAACTCACAGAGAACGTGAACTACAAGAATGTTAATGTTTTTTTTTAGTTCATACAATACCTACTTTTATCAGGACTGACTTTCTGTTTGGATCGTGACTTTACAGAATGCGTTAGGATTGTACCACAGATGCCAATAAGCTTTGGGTGAAGATTCTTGGGTTAACATTTGCAAGTGCCTACTTTAGAAAGATGCATTTTTTCTCTCTCTCTAATTAAGTGTTATGGGAATGAGAATGTTTCATTATTATACGAGATGGCATGAGCTAGTACCGCTCTCCAATACTTGTTCGCATATTACAGGGTTCATATATGACTCTTTCCCCATTGCTTACTGCCCACGATATCTCATTACCTGTAACAATACACCCTGTAAAATCGTGGGGAAACGCATATTTTAAAGATCATAAACACAACACCTTAATAGCCATCACTTTAAAGAAGATGATTACTATACCTAAAATCACTATGCACTTCACCTTCGTTGCATCTTATCCAATATCGAGTGTTTCAATCGCGCTGAAATGAAACGACCATAAAAATTGGGGAACATTTACTCGGAAGTTTTGC